TTCGAACCCTAACTCGAACCCGAACTTGAACCCACTAACCCTAACCCTAACCCGAGCCCTACCCCGAACCCGAACACGAACCCTAACCCTAACCTGAACCCACTAACTCTAATCCTAAACCGAGCCCTAGCCCAAACCCTTGTTAGACCCTAATGCCACGAGGAAAGAACCCTAGAGGGGGGATGAATAGGGTTTATGCTAATCTAATCCGATTTAATAGCAATTAAAACTAATTAACAAATATCCTAACAAATTAGATATGCAACAAGATATAGATGCAATTATATACAAACAATGGTAAGAAAACTATAAACAAATACGAACAATATAGTGGATAAATTAGACAATGAGAGAATGGCGATAGAGATAAACAAAATATAAGTGCACAAGCCAAACTCAAACACACAAGAAATGATCACGAAGTTCAGACCTTCCTTCCTACATCTCCGTTCCCTATTCCCGAGGAGAAATACACTATCACACCGGGTTTTCGACGCTCACCCGAAAACGTTTACACCTCACACTCGGTTTTCTAGCTCACCGAAAATTTTACAATCAACACTCTTACAATCCCACTCTACACCCTCTAAGTGTTGGTCTCTAGCATGTGTCTCCCTTAAGTGCTCGGATTTACAACCTCTCCCTAAGCTTTACTACCAACGTCACTCCTCTTAGTACGACCCAGTCTCTCACCACACACTCCTCTTGGTGTACAAGTGTATTACAAAATGATCTACACAATGAAGGCTCAAATACAAATTTTGTTCTCTAATACAAGGATGAGAACTAAGTGTAAACTCACTCTCTAAGTCACACAACCTCACAACCTCAATTATACTATGTATGCAAATACTAAAGCTCAACGGTTGTGTGTGTGAGCAATGAGTAAAACAAATCTAAACTCAATATAAATCTAACTTTAATAAAATGATTAAATAAATATAAAGCTAGAAAGAGTTTAGGGAAACTTCTCTATAGATCAAGAGTAGGAGAGATGAATTGAAGCTCAAACACCAAGAATTGATCTTCACTTCCTCTTGTGAAAATAACTTCACAAACCAACTTTTAAACAAACTTAAATGAATTGTTAAACACCCTTAAAACTTGTTTTTAAACAATCTTGGTGGTTAGAAATGTTAAATGCAATGGGGTATATATAGGGTGGAAGAAACCAGCCCAAGAAAACCCCAAAAACCCATAAAACATTAAAATAAATAAAAAACTGGAAATAGTCGTTATTGTGCAACGGTCAGATTTATAAATCGACTTGGTATAAGTCAACTTGATATAAAGTATAAGTCGACTTAAGAGATGAAAACAACAACGGGAAAGCGAGACATAAGTCGACTTATAAAAGACTATAAGTCGACTTACCATAAGTCAACTTATCATGACTGATAAGTCAACTTGGCAGAGAAAACTTTAATCATTCCAGAAGAGAACATAAGTCGACTTGTCAGGGTTTATAAGTCGACTTAGAAACATGCACATGTACTGTTCATGCTGACAATTTGATTTTTAAAGTGCCTTTAAAAATAGTAAATAAATTCTAAAAATTGTAAAATTTTAGTAAATGTTTATAAACATGATAATAAACAAGTTACAAAAAGATTTTTTAGAATTGCACTTCCTAATAGTAAAAACTCATCATTTTGCAAAAATATCAAAAAACATGAAAATACAAAACACTTGTTTTTGTCATTTTGACTTAAACAAACTTTTGAAACTTTATAAAATGATTTTATAGACTTGATAAAAGATATAAACTATTATTGTTAAGTCTATAAACCAAAAACTCAATATTATGCAAAAATTCAAACAACAAATATGATTTCATTAAATTTAAACTTGTTAAAGATGAAATCATATATATGCATATACAAACATGAAACAAAAATGTATTTTCCAATTTTATTCAATTGTTTTATATTTAAATTTGAAAACTATAAAACCAAAACATACACATACACATACACATACATATACATATATATACATATACATATATGAGAAATATGGGTATGCTTGGTACCAAGCACAAAAAGTTGTGCTTGGTAGTGAGGTGTCACATCTCCCTCCACTCATTCAAATGTGGGATCACATTCACATGGGTAATGAGTGGATGAGGATGTGACACATCAAACTTTTATGTGTGTATGTGATTGAGCTTGAAGTACTACACACAAGTATAAACCTAAAACTAAATTACCCAAGCTATATTGATCTTTAATGAGCTCTTCTTGGTAAACTTACGGATGAAGCTTGAACTTGGATCTTGACTTGAATTGCATTGCTTCATAGCGATATTCCTCTAACCTCCATTGGATATGATCGTGAAAGCTCATAATTTTTATCATTTTTTTATCATTTGGACTCAATGATAGATTTTCCTTAAAATTCACCAAGTTCATGCACCATAACCCATAATATTTTTTCATTTTTATTTGTTTTGGTCGAATAGTGACTATTTGGTGTATTTTAAATATTTACAATTTTCATGGGCTATAGCCCATAATTTTTATCAATTTTAATCATTTTGGCCTGATGGAAACTAAATTCTTTCTTTAAAATTCACTATTTTCATGAGCTATAAAACTCACAACTTTTGTTTATTTTCATCAATTTTTCGCCCAATGGTGATTAGTTTGCGTTATGCAAAATTTGTAATTTTCATTAGCCTACAAAATTTATCTATTAAGGTCATTTTGACCTAGCAATTAAAGTTTCTTCCTCATAATTCACTATTTTCATGTGTTGCAACCCATAATGTGACACCCCCACACTTTAGTCCCACGTAGACTAGTGAGAAGAAATATTAGTGGCTTAAATAGAGAAAAGCTTAAAGCCCAAGAATAACTAGTGTTGGCATTTTAACAATGGATTTCAGCCAACATCGAGTTGCTCTCAGTGGGTCCCACGGCTTGCACGCGCCAAAGGGCCGGTGGGCTGGGGACGTGACAAATGGTATCAGAGCAGTCGTCAGCTAGAAGTGTGAAGCTAAGTGTTATACAGGCTAAGTGCTACACCGCGTGGATACGGTGGGAGCCACCTCTAGAGCCCGTAGGAGCCACCTCTACAATCCACATTGCTTGGCAATGACACTGGGATGCGCCAATTATCATGTCATGACGACGAGGACGTTGTCTTTGTAAGTGACACCCCCACACTTTAGTCCCACATAGACTAGTAAGAAGAAATGTTAGTAGCTTAAATAGAGAAAAACCCTAGGCCTAAGAGTAACTAATGCTAGCATTTTGGCAATGGATTTTAGCCAACATCAAGTTGCTCTTGGTGAATCCCACAGCTTGCACGCGCCAACGAGCCCACGGGCCCGAGGCGTGACACATAATTTTTGTTCATTCTAATCTATTTCAACACAATGGGAATTAATTTGTGTATTTCGAGAATCGCAAATTACATGGGCTATAATGAATAATTTTTTACTATTTTCATTTTTTATTCATAGTTAATTGGCATGCTTTAAAAATTCACAATTTTATATAGGCTCTATCTCATGATTTTTATTTTTATTTTCAATTTTGGATGTTTCAACCTTATGGCAATTAAAAATTCTTTCCACAAAGATCACCATTTTCATAGACTATAATCAACAAATTTGACCACTTTCATACGTTTCAACCCAATGGCGATTACTTGGTATATTTCAAATTTTACAATTTTCATGAGTAACCACAATTCTTGTCCTTTTTTCCATTTCAATCCAATGGTGATTAAATTTTATTTCATCATAGTTCTTCATTTTCATGTGCTATAACCAAAAGATTTGTCACTTCGGCCGAGCACAGGATGGCGGAAAGGAAGTATGGGCTGGCGATTGTGTCAGCACCTACTTTATAGGTGCCGGCTGGCGACTGGGGAGAAATCACTTCCGCATTAAATGAAAAGCGATTAGAGGCATAGCAGTGTTGACGTGGTCCGATGAGTCATGAAGACTATCGCAGCTAAGGCATGATGGCGTCTATCAAGCATTAAATACGATGCTGACACGTTTGTCAGTGGGAAAGGCTCGAGGCTGAGGCCGTCCTTTGGCTTAGCCGAGAAGTAACGACTCTCGAGTCTCAGCGAGTCGGCTAAGTTAGAATCCTTGTTGGTCTTTGGCCGCCAATTTGATTGGGGCATTGCATGCAAAAGTACACATGTCCGTTGCTAGCAAAGGGTTACACTTTGGGGACTGAGAACACCATAACAGTGTTGAAGATGGAAAATGGTCAAATTTGTGTATAATTCATGAAAATAGTGAATTTTGAGAAAAGAAGTGTTAATTTCATTGGGCAGGAACTACAAATAATAGACTAAAATTATGGGCTCATCCATGAAAATTGAAAATTTTGAATTACTCCAATTATTTATCATTGGATCATAACAGATGAATATTGACAAATTGGTTATAGTCCATAAACAAGGGAAATTTTAGGGGAAATTTTTTTGATTATCATAGGTTGAAATAGATGAAAATGGACAAATTTGACGGTTATGAGATGGTAGCTCATTTTATAAAAAAGCTACCAAAAGATTGGATAGTGAGGTCAACATCTTTTGATACGGCTATCAAGGTGAGTCTAACCGCTACCCTATCTCTTGTTTAGCAAAATGAGCCGTCACCAATACCCATTATTTCCATGCGTGTGTGCATGAGTTGTATAGGAAGATGTTTCTAATCATTATATGTTTTCTATAAAATCAACTCATTAAATTATCCAATTCATATTTTAGATGACCGAATACCGTGTAAACCGATTAGCATGGTTTCCGTGAAGTTCTCAACAATATGAACAATGTTAGATCATGATGAAATGTTCGAACAGCTCAATTAGGCTGACCAGTTGGTGACACAATTGCTCCGTGTACGCTCGTCACACTCATTATTCATGATCCCTTTTCACACTTAAAAATGACTATAGCTGTTTCCACAAACGTCTTTATCATTTTCATACCAAGACGCTCTGTGTATACTCTTATTGGCTCATAGTCCCTCAATTTCTTCCTACACCATGACCCCCAACAGGTTGTCGTTTTCATAAACAATTCTAGGAAATAAATTTGTACAAATTAGCTAACCATGTCAATATGGAAGATATTATTAATCTTTAGTAGATCTTGAAAAATAATTTAGGGATCTTGATTGTATCAGGCTCCTATAAGGAATCAATTACCAAATATTTTATTTTCTCTAGCTATCCTGTCCTTCCACCTCTATAATCTCAATTCTTCTTCCTCCTCCCTCTCAACCTTCTTCCTTCTCTTGACATCTTACCTATGAAGCCAAACCAAAAACTGAGGGAATCACCATCATCACCGTGGCGGCGATTTTTCTGTTTCGGGTGTTTGTCGAGAAGGTCAGCAAGGAAAAAGCTCGAGGGTTTAAGACCTGATGACAACAGAGAGTGGGGAAAGAGCCCGGAGATTCTTACAGATTTCAGTACTTTCTCATTGAAGGAGCAGCAGCTGAAGCTGAAGAAGGCGATGGAGGAGGAGGAGAAGGCGAGCAGGGAGGCTGCGAGCGTGGTTGAGTGGGTGAAGCAGGCGTCGGCAAGGATGGATGTTTCTGCAGTTGATGAGTTGTTACTGAGTGAAGATGAAAAATAGTATGAGAAAGAAAGGTTAGAAACTGTGATCTGTATGCAAAAGAACATAAAACTGAGAAATTTTGATATTTCATTTATATGCATGTCATGTTGGGAGAAGCAATAGCTATGGATATTCCAGTCGTACCTTCTGTTTCAGGGTAAAACCGCATCCAAAAGCCTCTTATAATAGATAATGAGATAGAGAGGAATCAAGTTTCATGGACAAATATTCTTAGGCTTAGAGAATCAAAGAGTTACAGCGAGCTATCTAAGAAAAGTTATCAAATACACAACATCTCTTTGTTGTGGAAAGAGATTATGCTTCTCTAAACACTATATGAAATGCATCAGAATCCTCAAGTATATTGCTATATACTGCAAGTGATACCTACATGGATTAACCAATAATTCTTGATGGCTTGATCTCAATTCGCATCATTCAGTTCCAACTCTCAAATTTTGAATGCAGACGAAACATGGAAAATTGTAACAAAAGTTACAACAAGGCATCTAGTTTGTTATTTCTGCGCTCCCTTCCCTATTTTGCAGCAAATAAGACGAATCATAACCACCTATTAAGCAAACAACGGTTAGATTGAAAGCAGTGGTCCCTACTCCACTACTTATTCCACTATTTTTTCTTAGTGAAAAGTAGTGGAGAGAATCCGAATCCATTAATATATGCGTGTAGGTATGACAAAATGAGATGATGAATTGAGATTCTTTCATGGGCTCACTCAATACATTACTACTATGACCGTTTGAATATCATATGATTCGTGCATAAAGTTATATAGGCAGATATCTCTAGTCATTATATTTCTGTAAAATTAACGCTCGTATTTAGAAAATTCAAAACTATCTAAACTTATCAATATAGTTTAATGATGTTTTTAACAACTCATTAGACTAACTCATGTAAGATAGAAGCTAATCAGTCAATAAAACCATTCAAAAAGCCAGGAATTTTATGATCACGATGGCTGTTTCCACATACTCAGTTTTACAATCAGTTGGACTTCAAACCATCTTTATCATTTTCACACAAGGAGCTTCCCAAAGTGAAAAAAATTTCCAATTCAAAAAGAATCATTAGATGTCATCATACTTACTGGCTCATAGTTCCTTAGGACAAATTTTCAAAACAGTCCTATTTTGACTTTTATTTGCAAAAACCGACCCCTTTCGAACTTAATTGTAAAAACCGACCTGGTTTCAGTCCTGTTGCTGAAACCAGGTTGGTTTCTGAAAAAAAATTTACGAAACTTCACGAGAGTTCAACTCCCATGAAGTTTAGCATATTTTTAAACTTCACGGGAGTCCAACTCCCGTGTAGTTTAATTTCTTAAATAAACTTCACGGGAGTTGAACACCCGTGAAGTTTTACTCGCACAACAGACTTCACGGGAGTTCAAATCCCGTGAAGTCTGTTAGAGTGTTAAAAACTCCACGGGAGTTCAACTCCCGTGGAGTTACAGGCCAAATTTCCCAGAGAATCGCTCTCTGGGAAATTTAGACTGCAACTTCACGGGAGTTGAACTCCCGTGAAACTGCAGGTTTTACAAAACATGCACAGGCTGCTGTGCTGTGCATGTTTTGTATACATCTACCTGTTTTAACTCATATATATAACTATTTACCTGTTAACAACAATTACTACAATATATGTATGATTTAAACACGCACGAATCAAACAATACTCAAGAAGACAAACATGTACAAGTCGATCGCATCAATAACAAACATGTTATGAATATTGTACAAATTATTAAAAAATCAATCATCAAATATTTACTTCTTCACCTTCTATTTACCAAAAAATATTGTACAAATCGAAAACAATATTAGGAATAAATTTGCACAAAATTATATCGATCGCATCAAACATGTTATGACCTAACCCTAACCCTTTTATTTGCAAAAGGAGAAACAAAACCAAAAGGTCTGAAGGGCACAACTACACAATGGTCAGCTTGTTGGGGCTCGGACGAAGTAGTTGATGTCACTGATTACAAATAGCTGTGACCCTTACTGACTCTTTAAGTGGGTTGAAACTCTTTGATACGTGTGTATCTTCTTCTCTGCTTCGGGAGCTTAGTGATCCTCATGGGAGCTTGAGGATAGGTGATTCTCATGATATCTTGAGAATAGTGATGTGAAGCGATACGACGAAGCACAGGATGGAGCGTGAAGCGAGTCGGAAGAACAAAGAATCAAAGATTTCAGTTCTCAGCCTGAATGACGGGTTGATGAGTCGACTGACAGTTGATGAGTCGACTGTCGGGTTGATGAGTCGACTCAAAAAATCGCCTCTAGATAGCAAAATGCTTCTGCTGAGTCGACTGATGAAATCATGAGTCGACTCATGCAGGCTAGCACGGTTTGTGCACATTTTGAGTCGACCATGAGTCGACTGGTGATCATGAGTCGACTCATCTCAGTCATGAGTCGACTCATCGAGGTTTTCTGGGCAGACTTGGTTTCTGTTTTGAAAGAATCCTAGCTGGGTTTGGTTTTGGTTATTTACCAGATTGTCATCACGTTGTAAACCCTATAAATAAGAATTGTTTAGGGTTCTAAACAAGGAGGTCAGAGGCCAAGATGTAGATCTAAAGGGTTTTAGGTCTAAGTGATATCCTAATCAAAAGGATTAGGGTTTAAATTATGAGGATCTATGAGATCTTAAATCAGAGGTAATTAAGAGAGATTCTAATCATTGTATTAGGGTTTAGAGAGGAATGAGAGGTTGTTCTCGATTCTAGTGAGATTGTGAGGGAGAATTTTGTAATAATTGATTCTTCATAATCTAGAAAAGGTATTTTCCTTCGTCATACTGAATTATTCTTGTGTTTTAGTTGTCTTCTTCTCAACCCACCTTTTGATAATTCAGCGACCAAATGGTGCTCGCACGGTGACTCGTATCACTCTTCAATTTCTTTTTCCCAAGAGTTCTAACTTATAACTTCATCCTACTCATTCCACAACTCTATTTTCTCAAACCCTTAGCCTATTTAGAGGTTTTCCTATCTCAAGTCTCACAAAACCTCTCAAAATCGAAATACTAGTTTATGTTTCTCCCAAACTTTCTCGGGTCTCTCATTGCTCAACGATGTCTTCTCACACCACCGAACTTCCAACGGGCTTAGGTCATCAGGATCTCCAGCCGCGGGTTCTTGTAGGCGCCAATAGATGGCTCCTATTGGCCAATTTGTTGACAGAAGGGCCTCTAATTGCTCAACGATGTCGTCTCCCACCAGCAAACTTCCAAAGGCTTAGGTCTTCAGGATTTCTAGGCGCGGGTTCTTCTAGGCGCTAATCGATGGCTCCTATTGGCCAATTTTTGGCCTCTAACATGTATGCTTGATTGGAGGACAAAACTCTGGTGATGGGTAGTTTTGTGGATTGCAAAACTATCAGTATGGACAACAAGCTCTAAGGTGCTCTATCGATCAAGGTTGGATTAGGTTCATTGAGATAATGTCGATACACTCTGATTCTACGCGAAACTTTTTGTGAAACATCCATCTGGTTCATGACAATTGGTTCATGACTCGAGTGTTCCGCATGGACATTCGTATCTCTATCACAAACCTAGCTCGGGCATCCTAACGATGGTGTCAACATCTCCAGCAAAACAATTGATGATTTTAACTACGAGGAGGCAGAGATGAAGTACGATGTTGATGCGACTTATGACATGATTTTGGATGATACAGAGGCCAATCGCAAGTGTAAGAAGTTGATTACCCTCAACCAAGATGCTTGAATCAGTGTTGACGTTGTTACAGCTAATATCTTCCCAAAGGCGGGAGGCCGTGATGAGGTGTTTCATCCAGCTTTTTTCTTGAACTTGTTGCCTATTCCCCATGGCTCGCGTCAAAGTCAACATTGACAAAATTACTATTCCACAATCTCACCCACGTCATCCAGCTTTTTTCTTGAACTTGTTGCCTATTCCCCATGGCTCGCGTCAAAGTCAACATTGACAAAATTACTATTCCACAATCTCACCCACATGTCATCCACACTACAATTGGTTCATTACAGCTTTTTGATGCCAGCGCTTTTGACGAGCAAAGAATTACCCCTCGAGCGTGTAGAGATTAGTCAATCCATCACAGACTTCAAAGGCAAAAGCATTAGTATCATAGACGCCGGTCGAGCTCATAGTGATGCAATCGACAAGCTCCCCTTGCGACTGCTCCACAACACTTGCTCCTGCTCCTTAAAGTGAATCACCACTCGTTACTTTGCAGGTTCTGATGAGTCACGATGCTTTCCTCGACTATATGCAGGTTCCTTTTATATGTGATGTTGAGGACCACGAACTTTACTCTCAGTATATACGGACTGGGATGGAGGCGGTTCAAAGGTATCGCTCGCAGGACCACTCTCACTCTGATCAGGTTGTTTGTGATGCTGCTATGGCCTTAGGTATTGCTGACACTGCTACAGATGTCTGTGGATATGACGTTGATTACCCTCAACCAAGATGCTTGAATCAGTGTTGACGTTGTTACAGCTAATATCTTCCCAAAGGCGGGAGGCCGTGATGAGGTGTTTCATCCAGCTTTTTTCTTGAACTTGTTGCCTATTCCCCATGGCTCGCGTCAAAGTCAACATTGACAAAATTACTATTCCACAATCTCACCCACATGTCATCCACACTACAATTGGTTCATTACAGCTTTTTGATGCCAGCGCTTTTGACGAGCAAAGAATTACCCCTCGAGCGTGTAGAGATTAGTCAATCCATCACAGACTTCAAAGGCAAAAGCATTAGTATCATAGACGCCGGTCGAGCTCATAGTGATGCAATCGACAAGCTCCCCTTGCGACTGCTCCACAACACTTGCTCCTGCTCCTTAAAGTGAATCACCACTCGTTACTTTGCAGGTTCTGATGAGTCACGATGCTTTCCTCGACTATATGCAGGTTCCTTTTATATGTGATGTTGAGGACCACGAACTTTACTCTCAGTATATACGGACTGGGATGGAGGCGGTTCAAAGGTATCGCTCGCAGGACCACTCTCACTCTGATCAGGTTGTTTGTGATGCTGCTATGGCCTTAGGTATTGCTGACACTGCTACAGATGTCTGTGGATATGACTACGG